GTGGTTCTTGTTGTATAGGACTTAGATTCACTACACGAGCTCATTGTCTAGAAACTTTGCTGTGCTAATTTTTTTTAAATAACATTTGTTGTATTTTTTGTTCCTGAAAATAATAAAATTAACACTTGTTCCATAAAGTGCAGAAAAGTATGAAAAGAATATAAAAAGCACCTAAAAACTTGCATTTAGAAGTAACTCTTTGGGCATATTTGGTGTTTTTTCCCCCGATTTCCCTCAGTATCTGTGGGGGATTGGTTTCAGGACCTCCCTTAGATGCTCAAGTCCCTGATATAAGTTGGTGTAGTATTTGCATATAACCTATGCACATCCTCCTGTATACTTCAAATCATCTCTAGACTACTTATAATACCAAATACAATGGGAATGCTGTGTAAACAGTTGTTATACTGTATTGTTCAGGGAATTATGCAAGGAAAAAAGTCTGTACAAGTTCAGTACAGACATAATTTTTTAAAAATATTTTTGACCCAAAGTCAGTTGAACCCACAAATGCAGAACCCAGATATAGAGGGCCAACGACATATAAAAAACATAAATTTGAATATTTTGCCATGTAATGCATATATTTTATATATCTGTTAAATAATAAATCCATATAAATATATCTGCATAATATAATATAAAAGTATATTTAATATTTTATGTAATATATTTATGCCCTAAGTATTTAGATATGAATAAGTAAATGTTTATATTATGATATATATGTTTATAACCTATATATCTAGAAATATAAAAACACTTTTTCTTGTCACATTGCACTACAAGCCTCTGAAGAAATTGTTATTATTATCTCCATTTAACTATGTTAAAAATCACAGCTTAGAAATAAGCTAGTAAGGGGCCGGCCCGGTGGCGCACTGGATAGTGCGCCGCTTGGGAAGCGCGGCGGCGCTCCCGTCCGAGGGTTCGGATCCCACATGCGGACCGGTTCCCACTCACTGGTTGAGCGAGGCGCGGGGGCGACGCCGAGGGTTGCGGTCCCGTTGCTGGTCCCCGGTCCGGTGCGGGGGCGACACTGAGGGTTGCGATCCGTTGCCGGACACGGAAAAAGACAAAAAGACAAAAAA